AAGGAGAGGTCGACGCTGTCGAGGTGTCAGAGGTGAGTTGGGTATCCCTTGCTGGAGTCATGCCTTGGCCCTTGGGAATGACTTCCTCGGCGGTTCAATGAGCGTCAACGATGCCCGGTTGGCCCGCACCGTGCTGACTGGAACCAGGCCGTCCGACAAGTCGAGCGAGATCAAGCAGAAGCAGCCAAAAACCGCCAGCCGCTCGACCCCGAGCTCGCAAAGATCGCCGGCGGTCTTCCCGGGTCCACATCCGCTGTCCCCACTCCCGTGAAGGAGAAGAAGGACAAGAAGGAGAAGAAGGACAAGAGCGACAAGAAGGACAAGAAGGAGAAGAAGGAGAAGCGCAAGTCCGAGGTGGTGGCGATGGAGGTTGACGGAGCCGAGGAAGATGAGGAGGAGAGGAAGCGGAGAAAGAAGGAGAAGAAGGAGAAGAAGAAGGCCGAGGCCGAGGGTGCGGCCGGGGCAGCAGAGGAGGGGAAGAAGGAGAAGAAGAAGAAGAGGAAGAGTGAGGCGTGAGGCGTGGATGGACGGCGGATTGATGTGACGAGCGGGCGGAGAGAGGTGGCGTGGAGGAGACACCATATACCCTTTTCATTGGCTTCGGATGCACATCAGTATCATCTCACGGCGTGTCACCATGGACCGTTTATATTGCGTCGACTGGATGCGCAGATCTGCTGTGCACGGAATCCTAGAAGTCTCTCTGCGAGACGGAGAAATTTCCAGTCTCCAATATCCGTTCATATCCTAGGGCGACCAGCGCGTGTTTCGGTACTGGGAACCTTGTCGGGTCAGACTAGTTGAACAAGTCGGCGTCCCGAGATTTGTCTGTAGGCCGGTTGACGTATGCGGGAGACTTTGTAACCCTCTACAGCTTGTGTCGAACCCAGACGGGGGTTACTTGATGTACCACAACTCAGAATCTGCTTCTTGCACCACCTGGCAGGCGTCTCCACGTGGGTGAACGATACTCAACGACTGGACGTGCGGTAGATGAGCGCAGTGCTGGTGATCTGGACAAACTCTCAGAGTCTCCATTCTTCAGTCCGGGCCGTCTCTCCGGGCAAAACCAATATGCACACGAACTGATGCACTTCGTCAAGAGCTTAGGCATCACGCTGTTGTTGAACCAACTCGCGAGCAGCCTCCACCTTGTCCTTGGCCAGACCGCCCCGCCCCGACGCGACCTCCCTGATCCCTATGTGGTCCCCTCTGTTCCTCTTGGTTCCATAGTGACGCGAGGGGCGTCCCCTGCGAGTTGGTGTGGCCGTGGCCGTGTGGGTGGTGTGACCTGAACCTGTGGTCGCGTGTGGTGTGATTTTCCTCCACGCGACGCGACCGATCAGGTGTAAACATTACAAAGCGGGTTGCAACATTACATAATCAACAATGGGTTGACTGGACGCGTCTCGTTCCCTCCCGCTCCCTGGGCTTATATTCCCTGCTCGCAAATCCTCGGTTGACTTCTTTCTTCTCTGTCTTTGCTTTTCCGACGATCACACTCACCAACTAGACGCTTCACTGACTCTCACTGACAGAGTCACACAGCACGCAACGTGAGTCCTTCATCGTCTCTCTTCGTCTTTACGACCGACGCCCACTGCCCGCTCCATCGCCATCGCCACTGTTCGATCGCTGATGCTTCGCCCAGACCGCGTCGTGACTTCTCACACTCATTTGATCAACCAGGCCATCTCGTTCCCCTTTGCGACTCACTTCACGGACACTCCTCTCACGAACACCACACACCACCGCCAAGATGGTTATGTGGATTTACAAGCGCGACGGGCGCAAGGAGCCCGTCGCTTTCGACAAGGTCACCGCGAGGGTACGTCGCGTCGCGCGCGAATTGGGGTATTGTACGAGTTTCCTCGCAGTGCTGATTTTTCTGCTGTAGATCAACAAGCTCTCGTATGGCCTCGACCCCAACTTTGTCGAGCCCGCAGAAATCACCATGAAAGTCGTCCAGGGTGTTCACAGCGGTATCACCACTGTCGAGCTCGACGTGAGTCAGCAAACCCGGCAAGCCCGGCCGGTCCTCATCTGGCTGTCGATGTATCGCCGTTGCTAATTCTCCTTGCAGAACCTCGCCGCTGAAACCGCCGCGTACCTCACCACCAAGCACCCCGACTACGCCATCCTCGCCGCCCGTATCGCCATCTCCAACCTGCACAAGGAGACGGACAAGGCGTTCTCCACCGTCGTGTCCAACCTGTACCACTGGATCAACCCCAAGACGGGCAAGCACGCGCCCATGATCGCCGACGACGTCTACAAGATCGTCATGGACAACAAGGACGTTCTCGACAGTGCCATCATCTACGACCGCGACTTTGCGTACAACTACTTTGGCTTCAAGACGCTCGAGCGGTCGTACCTCCTCCGCATCAACGGCAAGATTGTCGAGCGACCCCAGCACATGATCATGCGTGTCGCCGTCGGTATCCACGGATCCAACATCGACAAGGTCATCGAGACGTACAACCTCATGTCGGAGCGATACTTCACTCACGCCTCGCCCACGCTCTTCAACGCCGGCACGCCCAACCCCCAGATGTCGTCGTGCTTCCTCGTCGCCATGAGGGACGACTCGATTGACGGGATCTACGAGACGCTCAAGACGTGCGCTCAGATCTCAAAGACCGCCGGTGGTATCGGTCTTCACATCCACAACATCCGCGCCAAGGGCTCCTACATCGCCGGTACCAACGGTTACTCGAACGGTATCGTCCCGATGCTCCGCGCGTACGACGCCACTGCCCGCTACGTCGACCAGGGTGGCAACAAGCGTCCCGGTGCCTTTGCGATCTACCTCGAGCCTTGGCACGCCGACATCTTCGACTTCCTCGACCTCAGGAAGAACCACGGCAAGGAGGAAGTCCGCGCCCGTGACCTGTTCTACGCCCTCTGGATCTCGGACCTCTTCATGAAGCGCGTCGAGGCCGACGGCGACTGGACGCTCATGTGCCCCGCCGAGTGCCCCGGCCTCGCCGACGTGCACGGCGACCAGTTTGAGAAGCTCTACGAGAGCTACGAGCAGGCCGGCAAGGGTCGCAAGACGATCAAGGCGCAGAAGCTCTGGTTTGCCATCCTCGAGGCCCAGACCGAGACCGGTGGCCCCTTCATGCTCTACAAGGACGCCGCCAACGCAAAGTCCAACCAGCAGCACCTCGGCACCATCAAGTCGTCCAACCTCTGCACCGAGATCATCGAGTACTCTGCCCCCGACGAGGTCGCCGTCTGCAACCTCGCCTCGCTCGCCCTCCCCGCGTTTGTCGACATGGAGCGCAGGGTCTACGACTTCAAGAAGCTCCACGAGATCACAAAGGTCGTCACCAAGAACCTCGACACGGTCATCACCCGCAACTACTACCCTGTCAAGGAGGCCCGCAACTCGAACATGCGTCACCGCCCTGTCGGCCTCGGTGTCCAGGGTCTCGCCGATGCCTTTATGGCTCTGCGCATGCCGTTCGACTCGCCCGCCGCCCGCGAGCTCAACATCCAGATCTTCGAGACGATCTACCACGCCGCTCTCGAGGCGTCGTGCGAGCTCGCCCAGGAGTTTGGCAAGTACGAGACCTACGAGGGCTCGCCCATCTCCAAGGGTCTCCTCCAGCCCGACCTGTGGGGCCGCGTCCCGACCGACCTCTGGGACTGGGCTCCTCTCCGCGAGAACATCAAGCAGCACGGTGTCCGCAACTCGCTCCTCGTCGCGCCGATGCCCACCGCCTCGACCTCGCAGATCCTCGGGTGGAACGAGTGCTTCGAGCCCTACACCTCGATGCTGTACGCCCGCCGTGTGCTCTCTGGTGACTTCCAGGTCGTTTGCCCCTGGTTGCTCCGCGATCTCATCAACCTCGGTCTCTGGGACGAGAACATGAAGAACCTCATCATCGCCGCGGGCGGCTCGATCCAGAACGTTCCGAGCATCCCCGCAGAGCTCAAGGCGATCTACAAGACGGTCTGGGAGATTTCCCAAAAGGCGGTCATTGACCTCGCCGCGGACCGTGGTGCCTTTATCGACCAGAGTGAGTCGTCGCGGCGCGGCGTGTATACCTCGAGTCTGGGAATTTTTCGCTGACGCTCCGTGCCAGGTCAATCGCTCAACATCCACCTCGCCAACCCGTCGTTCCCCCAGCTCACGTCGATGCACTTCTACGGCTGGAAGCGCGGACTCAAGACTGGGTGCTACTACCTCCGCACCAAGCCTTCCGCCCAGGCCATCCAGTTCACCATTGACGCCAACACGCTCAAGCAGGCCAAAGCCAACGCCGCGGCTGCTTCGACGGATGCCGGGCCCGCCCCTGCTGCTCCCGCGGTCGCCGCCACCCCCGCTGCCGCTCCTTCGGCCTCCCCATCTGTCGACTCGCTCTCCGCCTCGATGCGGAAAGTCACCGTCGCCACTACTGCTTCCTCGGCTGTTCCCTCGGGTTCCACCCCGGCCCCCCTTGCTTCTGCTGGGAGGCGCGACGACTCGCCCGGCCCGAGCGAGGAGGAGGAGATCTCGTATGAGGAGGCCAAGCGACGTGCCGAGGAAAGAGCAGAGGCAGCACTCCAGTGCAGCATCGACAACAAGGACGCGTGCGTCATGTGCTCGGGATGAGCTCGACTCTAGTCGACTCGACGACCACGACCCGGTACATGTTCGCCAATCATGTAGAGACTCTATCCAGATTGCTGGCCCCTGTTTGCTTCCCTGGCGGAGTCGGAGTCTAGATTGCGAGGATGACGCACGTTTTCTCTGTTGTATCTAGCACTGTCCTTCTTTCTTCTTTTCTGCTCATGCATTGGTTTCGGTCACGCCGGGATCGGGTGCGCCAAATTGGAACACGGTGCATGGCTGCTCAGTGAAGCGAATCAGAGCGAGCCCAAACCATAGGCGAACGGTAATACTGCTGAGTTGGGTAATGTACAGAGTACAAGAATCAAGTTCAAGTACAAGTACTGTACGAGACCAGGTCACGATACCGCGGCCGCGCTTGTGGCACCGCCGCAACGCCTCAACGCGCTTGCTCTACGTGCTCGTGCTCCGGCTCGACACCTTTCTTGTCGACGTTGACGTCGCCGCCCGACCAGTCCTCTGGCAATCCAGCGAATTCTTCGGGAATGTCAGCGCGGTACTGTATGCCACCGATATCCCCGTGGTGCGGGTTAGACACCGAGAAGATGACTTCTGTGATGTACAGTATGTGCTGTACGAGCACTCACGATCCACTTTGGTCCTTGCGAATTTCCACGCCTCTACGCGATTGTTGAACAGGATGTCCAGCTCGCCATAACTCCGCCCTTTCGTCTCTGGGAGTCTGAAGAGACACCATAACCAGCTGAGCACGCAGGTGCCGAACCAGAACAGACCGCATCGGGCCCCCCAGCCCCACGCCAGTGGGGAGATCATACGCGGGGTGATGGTGTTGGTGATTATGCCGGTGATGTTGTAGGCGTTCCGGGCGAGCACGATGGACTGGGTTTGGGGTTACGTGTCAGCTCATGCAACCCACTGCGCTGCCACACTGAACTCCGAAACAGCACACAAGTCCAGAGGGATTTGTGGGTCTCGTGGTGGCACTCCCGAGAGGTGCGCGCGGGACATAATGCGAGCAGTGCACGTCCAGTCGAAGGTGCCAGCAGACGGGGTAAGACAGAAAGGGAACCCAATCGGAGTTACGAATTGGTGTTGGTGTTCTAATCGCGTCGTTCCGCGCACCACTCACCTTCGCGCGGAGCCTCGTCGAGTGCGTCTCGGAGATGATGACATAACAAGCCGGCCCGACGCTCATGTTGTAGAACAAATTGAGGAGGATCAACATTGTTCCGATCGCCCATTTCGCGCCGTTGGCATTCACGAAGCCGAGGATGCCCGTGATGAGCATGGTGGCGCCCATGCCGGCTAGGCCGTAGAGGTAGATCGTCCGGCGTCCGAAGCGGGACACGACTGAGCTGTGAGCGGCGTGGCAAGCGCGGCGACCATGGGACCGCGGGACCATTGGACCTTGGGACGGGGGGACCATGGCACCACAGGACCATGGGTCCACGGGCCCATGCTTGGTCGGCTAAATCGTATCGCACTCACGCGGCCACGAGATCAGGGTTCCGACGATGTACATCGACGTGACACCCAGGTTCAGGTCAAACGCCTTGATCGCGTCGAGGCCGGCTTCCTCGTAGAACGTGATGGCGTAGGAGATGAGCGGGTCGCCGCACCACCACTGGATGGTGAACACGGCGCACACCTGGGTCGTGGGAATTAGCACGACATGCCACGCCACTTCTGTGCCCCTGCACCCAGACGGTAGATCTGAGGGAGTAGTTCAAGAGCAGACCAAGCAAGCCAGTAAGGGAAGGGGATTCGGGAAAAGAAGCATTGCACAAGTGCGGTACGTACAATCTCCGTGCGCCGGAGGTTGATCTTCCCCCTGAAACAATCCACGAACCTCGCGCCCTCCGATTCCTCCCGCTCCATCGCCGTCGTGTGGATCATGTACGCCACCTGCCTCTTTCCCGATTCGGGGGTGTAGTACTCCCTCGACGAGAGACGGCGGCACGAGTCCTCGGCGTCGGCGAAACGGCCTTGGCGGACTAACCACCAGGGCGATTCGGGCGCGAAGAGGATGATGGTGAACAGCACCGGGGGCCAGATCCACTGGAGGCAGAACGGGAGGCGCCAGCCTGTGACAAGGATCAGACCGGACACCTGGGGAGACATGTATACCGCGTAACCACAACCTGATGACCACTTGGCATGAAGAGTCTGTCGGGGGAGGTGTGGCACTCAAGAAAAAGGAGGGGGGGAGAGCTCACTCACTCCAATCACCCTCGATGTTGAGGCACGCACGCACGATTCCCGACGACAAGAAAATACCCATTCCCCAGCACATGTTGATAAATGCTTGGTAAGAGCGTCAGACAAGACGATTCCGACGTGGAAAGGCGGAAAGACGCCCAGGAAGCACCAGGAGCGAGGTGTGGAGCGAGGCGCTACACTCACTGGTGAGGTACGCGCGGAGGTTGATCGGGCACACATCCGCGGCGTACGCAGTGGTCACGACCTGGACTCGGGTCAGCGGCCTCTAGCGCCGATCACTACCTCATACCACCGGCCCCTCCTCCCCACTCCACCCCACCCCACCCCACCCCATCCCAGCCCGCTCCCTCCCCTACGAGTACCTCGACTCCGACGCACCTGGAAGATACCCCACGGGATCCCCTGCAGGATCTCACCCACCACCAGCACGGTGAGACTCTGCGCGAACACCGGTATGAAGATGAACGCCGCCATGGCCACGAGCGCGCCGAGGACGGTGGGTTTGTATCCGAACTTGTCTGTGCAATAGCCGTTGATCCTGACGAGGGTTAGCAGGGCCTTCCCAATTGCCACACCAAATGTGCGAGAACGGATTTACGACACCGTGGCAGGTGCGCCGCGCACTCACACTATGCCCAGGATCTCACCGACGAGAGCGCCGTTACTGAGCCCCGTCTGCCATTCGGCGGTGATGAGCCATCCGCCCGTCGCGGGGTCGTACGTCCCGAAACGCTGTTGAAACGCCGGCTGGCCGTAGAAACTGCCAATCTACGCGGGTCAGTGGCGCTCGCAGTATTCTCCGCGCGACGTCCAAATCCGAGTCCGACGTCTGCGGTTTTCTTCGCCCTTTCCTCCTTTCCGCTTCCGCCTTTGCATGCATAGACACTACCCTCTCCAACCACAGTCACTCACAACGACTAGGTCAAACCCCTCCATCACCAAGCAGGTGGAGAGTATCGCCGACCAGAACGCCGCCTTGCGATACGCCTTGAACGTCTCCCATCCGCCCATCTTGTGTTCCTGCCGGTCCGCCGCAGCGGCATCTTGGAGGACCTGCTCGTAGTTCTCAATCTTGTTGGCCAAGTGGGAGTGGTCTACAGCCAGGACCTGGCCGCCTCCCGACTCCGGCTCGGGCTCGGGCTGGATGTCAGGCATGGTGAAGCGATGTGCGATCGGTGATGCTGTGGCGACCTGATACGACGGATGGAGCGAGGAGGTGGATGGGGGGTGAGACAGAAGTGCGGGGAAAGGACGGATCGTCGACACTGGAACTAGGACGAAGAGTATTTATGTGTCACCCCAGAGGCCCCACAGGGGGAGACGCCTGGCGCGAAACAGTAGTGATACCTTCGACATGAGGCCGAGGGGCTTTCGGCGTTCGGACGATTCACGGTGAGTGTACCGCTTGTCGCGGTCGATCACGCCTCGTACTGAACGTTCCCGGTTAACACGAAGAACCGGATAACCGCGGCCTTTCGCATAACCTCCAGAGTGTCATTGGCAGCAGGGAGGGCAACCAAAGGGGAGCAAAGTGGGATACGGACTATGGTAGAGCAGCTCGTGCTTGTGGGCCATCGGTCATGTGAGTGTGGCGCCACGGGCTATCTTTGGACCGCCACTAACCCCCTTTGGCGCTTGCGAGACTGTTCGGGGTTGGAGGTCGAGATCATGTGCTCGCTCCCACTTGCCGTGCACCACATTGTGCTCGAGTTTGACGATCACACGCGGAGAGAGGGAGAACAATGAGCTCATCCCAGAGTTCACCTCGGAACAGCCGATACCCATCCGAGCCCAGAGTACTCGGAATAAGTTGGGTCCGTACGTCCGTACCGTATCGACACCGAAGCTGTACCCGTACCCGTACCACACGGCATTCGTGGTCCGCCTGGGTTCATCCTAAGGTTCAGCGCAGCAACCGCATCATCAGAAGCTACGGGACGTCATGCGCCATGCGCCATGCGTGCGATGCAGATGTATGTTGTGAGAACACACCGTCATTCCCACCGCGCTCTCACCGGTTTCTCACCGGGACAACCGGTCGGAAGTCACGTAACCGCGAGCACAAGCGGTCCAGCGAATTCAATTCCTTTGCAAGAGCTGCTCTCAGACCTCGAGCAAGCCGATCGGACTCACAACTGATTCTTGGTCACTGACATTCCCTACCAGAAAGTAGGATCGCTGGCTTACGACGCCTTGACACCCCGACCACTCGACTCCCCTACCGTCACAACTCGGTGTACGGCGCTGCTGCCTCTGATCTCTCGTCGCTCCTTCTCGCGTTGGAAGCACTGCGCACCCGCACGCCCTCACCGCTTCCACCATGAAGTTCACCGAGGGCGTCTGGAATGCGCGTGAGGACATCCACGTCACCTCTGCCGTGGAGGTTCTCGAGCTCTCCACGCACCTCGACGACACTGCGAGCTCTGCTCGGAATCCCCCGAGCCCCGAGCCTTTCATCAGAACTCTATGCGCCTCGCGACACATCAAGCACCGCGGCGACCTCATCAGCAAGCCCGTCATCACTGTGACTCTCACCTCCCCTGCTCCTGGGATAATCGGGATTGAGGCAACGCACTTCTACGGCCACCCGCAGTATAAAGAGCCCAAAGCCACGCTGTTCCCCGATAGTAAACCCAAGTTTGCAGCTGCGGAAGTCCAAGTCAACGAAATCACGGCGATGATAACCTCGCCGGAAGGCAAGGCGTCCGCAACACTCGACCTCCGTCCGAGCGAGTTCTCAATCAACATCCATGACGCGCGGGGCAGGTACGTCGCTGGGCTGGGAAAAGATACGATCCAGTGGATCCTGCACAATGCGGCCACGCCGTTGTTGGCGGAAAAGGAGAATGCGAGCCAGACGATCCATGACTTGTTTCACCGGTCGTTACCGGAAAGAAGGAGCTACATGGCCATGTCCATGGGGCTCGAGGCGGGGGAGCTGGTCTATGGCTTGGGAGAAAGGTTTGGACCCTTCATCAAGAATGGTCAAGCAATAGAGAGTTCAAACGACGATGGCGGGTCGAGCTCTTCGTCAGGTGGGTACAGTACGAGTGCTCCGATACTGTACGAGTACATGGCTGTACGAGTACATGGCTGTACTCGTACATGGCTACGAGCAGTGCAGTGCTCACTCTGTGTCAGCGTACAAGTGCATTCCGTTCTACCTAACCAACCGCAATTACGGCGTCTACGTCGACCAACTCGACAGTGTCTCTTTCGAGGTCCAATCGGAGCGGATGACCAAAGTGCAAATTTCCGTCCCTGGCGAGACGCTCCGTCTCTTCGTCATCGTCGGGACCAGTCCCAAGGACGTGCTAACCGGATACACCCTCCTGACCGGTCGACCACCGCTTCCGCCCGATTGGTCGTACGGTCTCTGGCTCTCCACGTCCTTCCTCACCGACTACGACGAGAAGACGGTCATGTCCTACGCGGACGGGATGGAGGCGCACGACATCCCGCTCCATGTTTTCCACTTTGACTGTTTCTGGATGAGACCCCATTCGTGGTGCGATTTCCAGTTCGACCCGAAATACTTCCCCGATCCAAGATCGTTCCTCGCCAATCTCCACAAGCGGGGGATCAAAGTCTGTGTGTGGATCAACCCTTGGGTCTCGCAGTGCAGTCGGCTCTTCATGGAGGGAGACGAGAAAGGGTACTTCATCAAGAGGAGCGACGGGAGGACATTCCAGTCAGACTCGTGGCAGCCCGGAACGGCGACTCTGGACTTCACCAATCCCCACGCTGTCAAGTGGTGGCAGGGGTATCTGGTCGAGCTGCTCGATCTCGGAGTGGACACCTTCAAGACCGACTTTGGAGAGAGGATTACCACCGAGGGCGTGGTGTATCACGATGGTAGCAATCCCAGGACGATGCACAATTACTAGTACGTCCTGCCTCCGGTGGATCCGCGCTGAGACCAGCTCGTTCTTGTACAACAAGGCCGTGTGGGACGTGCTCGTCGCGAAGCGCGGTGCTGCCGAGGCATGCGTCTTCGCCCGGTCAGCCACAACGGGCGGACAGCGCTTCCCCGTACATTGGGGAGGTGATGTGGATTCCGAGTGGACCGGTCTTGCCGAGACTGTGCGAGGTGGACTGTCCTTTGGATTATCTGGGTTCGGGTATCACAGCTCTGATATCGGCGGATTCAAGGGAGAAGGAAAGCACGGGGGTAACTCGACTGCCCCGCCAGAGGGATCGGTATAGCAAGTCTTTCCCCCGCTCATCCTCCTCCTCCTCGTGTCCTTGTGTGCCCCGCTTACGCGAGTCTCGCAGCAAGCGGTGGTGCCAATTCGGCCTGCTTTCGTCCCACTCTCGGCTACACGGTTCAGCCACAGCCCGAGCACCGTGGTCGATAGACGACGAAGCCTGCCTTGTCCTTTCCAAATTCACAAAGCTCAAGAACCGGTTAGAACCATACTTCACCTCCCTCTCTCTGTCCGGTGCCGTCGCGCTGGGCCATCCGCTCATGCGCGCAATGTTCCTCGAGTTTCCCCAGGACAGGTCGATGTGGTACCTCGACCAGCAATACATGCTGGGAGGCAGTCTCCTCGTCGCCCCCGTGTTTGGTGAGAGCGAGGTGGAATACTGCCTCCCTCCTGGGACATGGACGAATATCCTCACCGGTCAGGAGACGGAGGGTCCGGGATGGAAGAAAGAGAGTCACACTATGATGACTCTCCCCGTGTTGCTCCGCCCAGGCCATGCCATCATCATGGGCAAAGAAGGCCATCGCGTCACAGACTCGATCGCCAAGCGGGGATTCACCGTCATGGTCGGTGGGCAGATCAACGACAGCACCACCATCAGTACTGCGCTCCGGGGTGGAAAGACCATCGACGTTGTTCTGGAGCCTCTCAAGGACGCATCCAGCAGCAACGTCAGCGGTATCAAGGTCAGTTCGAAAGGCATCAAGGCCGCCTTCGATGTCATCGTGCTGGGAGGTGGGCAAGGTCTGGACTCGCAGAACCTCGTAGCCGCCGAGGCGCAGAATGGCGTATGCGAAGTCCGTTTCGCCTAGACTGCACCTGTAGTCAGGCGATGATGATGCGCATGCATATGTGAGAGACTCGAGCTTGAAAAGTCGACAAGCCGGAAGGGGAGCCTCCTCCTGCGTCCAGTGGCGTGGAGGTCCTAGTAGTAGTTACCCTTGCCGGCGTACGATCCGTCCGGGTGGTCGAGACTGGCTTCGTCTGGGACCGGCCCAAACCTGGTCGGCGGCGGCTTGAACGGCTTTGCGGCGAAGATGGATCGTCCCGACGGCATTGTGAGGGACGATACCTGCGGCACAGGTTGGAAGGAGACCTGTAGCATCGACGCAGCCTCGTCAGCCCTTGCATCGACTGGAACCGACGAGTCCGCGAACCCGGCTCAGACTCACCGTATCGTTCATTCTCGTGTACGCCCTCACCCAAGCCGCCGTATCTTCCAGCTCCCTCTCTATCCTTCCCTTTCTAGCCTTTCTCTCCTCTTTCTTCCGTTCGTTGCCCCGACCGAGTGCGAGCCCCTTCATCTTCTCCCTGACTTTCCCATCTTCCAACTCTTCCAGCCTCCCCTGCGCCTCCTTCACCCACGCCACGGCCTCCCCTACTCTCGCGCCCTTTCCGTTCTCCCCCGCATCGACGCCCAGCCACTTGTGTGCGAGCGCACTGGCCAAGAGCGACTCTTTGTGGAGATACCGCTTCAGCTGGGAGATGACCTCGCCCTCGACCGCGTCGGGCTCGTTCCTCTCTTTCCAGAGTTTGCGAGGGGCCTCGTTCTGGACTTGCAGGAGAGTCAGGGCGGAGTTGTAGAGGGATGAGACGTGGAGATAGAGCTTGGCCAGGAGGGACGGCGAGGGGTGAGAAGCAGGCAAGGGCGGGCCAGGCGGTGCGAAGAGGACATGGGGCAACACCGGGAGGAGGAGCTTCCGTATAGCAGTGAGGTGCGCGTCGGCCATCAGAGTCCTACATCGTAAGCCTAAGCGACGGAGGTTCTTGTGGTCAAGCAGGACGACTTGTCATGTGAAGCACCCCGCTCACATGGATAAACCCCGTAATGACTCCGCACTAGTCTCGATAGGCCAACGATGCTTCCCAACTCTCCCTGTAGCGCTCCGTATCCCATCTAGTCCCGGACACACATTCTCCGCTGCCCATTGCGCGATCCCAGCAGCC